CCTCCTCCCTCCTCCCTCCTTTCCTCCCTCCTCCCTCCTCTCTCCTCATGTTCCTCCTCCTCCTCCTCCTCCTCCTCCTCTTTTTGTGCAGTCCACCGCGTGGCCTTGAGCTTTCTGAAATTCCGAATTCCAGTGGTGGTAGGGGGCTTACAGGCTTTGGCCAGACCGAGCACCTGAGCACCACTCGAATAAAATTTGCAAGAGCAACACAGAAAACTGTGAGAGGCATCAGAGCAAGACAGGGCGATCACCCTGCGTCCTAGTCTCTCCAAAACACCTTGATTGAGTTTGGACTTCCCAAGGCACTCGCTGACGGGAGGACGTTTATCCTCGGGCACCGTGGACCCTGCCAGACACACTTCGCAACGCCATAACCCACTCGAACGTTTCCAAGAGTGGCTCAGCACCAATTTCGGAGCCGAGGGCGGGGAAGGGAATTTTCACAACCTCTGAATTCGAGCAGTGGCCACTGCAGCAGGACTGCCGCGCCAAGCTTCAAAACATGCTTAGCAATCCCGATCTTGCGATCAAGCTCCTCAAGGTCTTGCGGAGCTGCGGCGGAGTGGCGCGACAGCGCGCGCTTGGCTATAGGATCCGCGGAAAAAACCTTGCCGAGCAAAACGCTCAGAGGCTGAGATGTTGGCTTCATCCAAGTCCTGATGCGCCTTATTGCGCTTTTACCTTCGTGCACCAACGGAGCCTAGACGCCTGGCTTGCAGGGTGGATCCCGAATACATTCTCCTATGCGAGAGAGCGTCTGACACGGAGAGGGTCAGCAGACCAACCACATTCTTGCAATCGATATACAGGTCGGCCTCCTCCGAGGCGCACAAACTGCACCAAACTAGTGAGCTAAATTCGGCACCTTGCGGCGCCAGGGGGCACGGGGCCCACGAGGGCCCCGAAACTTCCCCAAGAAGAGAGCCGTCATCAGAAACCATGGCTATGCCCCACGAGCTTCGAGACAACTCGCGCACGAGGTGACGTCGGCTCGAGCCGTCGATAAAAAAGGTGCCCCCATAACCCCTGATCAGGGGTAGCGTCAGGCGCGCCAGGAGTGGGAGAGGGGAGGGGGTCGACGCGCCATCTGATCCCCACCCCTCCTTCACCAACAACCGAAGGGCCCTCCATAGGACGCGGGAAGAATCGCCAGGATGCTGGAAACAGTCGTGCAAGAAGAGTAGCCTGTCGCAGCCCTCCGCCGAAACATCTGAAGCCGCATCCTGAATCCACCCCGGGACCAACTTATCTCTGATAGACTTGGCCGATGGACAGGGGCAGCGCCGCAGGCAGTGAACAAGCGCATCATTTTCATGCCCACAGAGCGCGCGCAGCGGTGAGACGTCAGCATATCCAGCCGCCGCGACATCGGCTGCCGTCCAGAACCCGTTGCGGGCCAGGGCGCGCATGAGGCCTTTGCCCTTCTTGGAGGCCTTGGAAGAGCCTAGGAGATACTCGGGGGCGCCCCGACACAAGCGATGCTGGGCCCTGGAATGATCACCCGAATCTCTTTCCATACCCCGAAAAACCGCCTCCTTGCACAAGTGCTGGACCATTCCAGGGGAATTCAACGTGAGCGGGATTTCTCGGCCGCAATCGCCCGCGAGGGTGCAGTGGCCATCGACCAGCCAATCCGATAGAGCGACATCCTCAAAGCCGAAATCGGACCCGAAACTTTGCTCCAGCTGTGCTGGTCGTGGCGGAATTCCCAGCCAGCCTGGAGCTCCGGCCACGAGAGGAAGAAGTCAAAGCTGCGAGTCTGAAGCGCCCAAACTTCACGAGCCCGGCGCGCCATCGGAGCGACCGCCGCCCTCCGAGGCGCGCCACCCTCAAGCAGAGACAGAACAGAGAGAGACCCCCCCCTGCGCCCGGGGCTCGGTCGAACTCATGCCTAAACGTCTCAAACTCAAGAGAGCTCGCGATCCGAGGGCCCGTGGACCTCGGTGCCAAAAAAACACGCTGGCCATCGGGCCCGCGGCAAAAATCCGAGTGGCTTTTCGCCCCAGAGGTTTGCTCTCAACTTCCGAAGGCGACGTGTCTTGCGAGCCGTCGTGGCCAACCTGGCCTTCCGTCGCGCAGCCCGCCCTCGACCGCGCGCGCGCGCAGCTCTCCCAGCGGCGGCGGCGATGCCCAGGTTGACCACGCTGGCCGTGGCTTGCCCCGCGAGGGGGCCCGGCCGCTCATGGATAGCCTCAGCGACCGACTTACGAGACGTAACCAAGCCGATCTTACGTATCCATGGCCAACTTGTAGGGCGGCGAGATCTATACATATCCACTGCTCCCTGGCCAGGCCCATCCTCAACCCCGCAGCGGTGTATACGCCACGCCCTCCTGGCTTGGCCAGGAGGGCGTATACACAGCTCCTGGGTTCAGGAAGGGCCTGGCCAGGGAGCAGTGGATATGTATAGATTTCGTCGCCCGAACTTGCAAGTCAGAGAGGACGTGATAGCAGAACGCAGCGATCGGGCACCAGCAGCAATGCCCTGCGTGGCCTCACGGAAGGCGCGCGCCCCGCGCAAAGACGCGTCGCCGATGTAAACGTCGAAATCAATAGTTGGCGAAAGGACGACCCCATCGGAGGCCGACATCGCAAACGCGCGGATCAGCGAGGTTGCAAGGCTACACCCCGCGACAATCCCGTTGCTGGCGAAATACGGGCCTTCGGTGAAACCGCCCATTCCCCAAAACCGCGCAGACGAGTAGGCGGAGATGGCAAGCCTGGCCAGGGGCAAGGGAAACCCGCGGCCCCCGACACTTACCAAAGAAGCTTCAACCCAACGTGCTCGAAAAATTGCCTTACATCCCAATGCAGGGCGGCGGGGGAATCCCCTCTCCTCGCGCGGGCCTCAGATCGGACCGCTCGGCGCCAGACGACATCGACCGGGCCTCGATTGGGCGAGCAACGACGCATGTACATGCACGCCCTCCGCGGTCTTGCCTGCACGAACGTCCGCGTTGACACGCACTCCAGGGGAAGCTAACCGCGTACGTGTACATATGTTGCTGGCCTCTGATCGATTGGCCCCTGCCACCCAGTAACCACGAGGGTTTCCCCGCTACCACATGACCGCTTGGGCTCTCCTCGCCCCCCCCCCCCCGACGCGGTAGAAAAGCAGGGGAGATGCCGATCGGGCGGCTCCGCCCGTGACTTTCGAGAGGAGGGCGAGGAGCACCCAATGCATTTGGCGGGGCAACCGACCCGCGGCCTCCACGATGGAAAAAAGGAGAGAAACTCATGGCCCGCAGGCCTTCGTCACCGAGGTGCGAGAAGTCGCGGCAGTGAAAACCGCCCAGCGACGCAGCACACTGGACCCTGTGGGATCTCGAGAGTTCCCTCAGCTCCGCGGGAGCCAGCAGCGAGCCAAGCAAGAAAATGGAACCGCCCTGGACACCGCGCCCCGACCCCTTGCCCCAAATCGCAAACTCACGACCACATTAGATGAGAGGGTGGTGGTGGGGGACCGAGCAATCGGATCCTTCAAAGCGGCGCGGGCTCCGCGCCCCCCCCTCGTGCAGACCGGCACGAAGCCGGCCGTGCCCAGCAGATCGAGGAGTTCGCAGCCTGCGCCTTAGCTGACGAGCAAAGCTCCGTCACTTCTTAGAGCAACTCCTCGAGCTCCGATCGGGGCGCCCCGCCTGCGCCCTGCTAGACTGAACGTCGCCATCACGGAAACGACGGAGCAGAACATGTAGCTGCGCGTGCAGCCAGTAAATAGGCTTGCCACGAGAATCGCGTGCTCTGCCAGCAGGCTTGAGTACCGACTTCCAAAACATCTGCGGTCTTTCGCCCCGGACTCCAGGCGCGGCAACTTCGACGCCCGCGAGGTTGGACAGGTCGCGCTCGGCCGACCTAGCCCGGCGCGCGCACCCCGAGTCCAGACGCCTGTCAGCACCTGAAAAATCATGTCTGAGAACAGCTTCGTATCCCTGCTGGGCAACCTCAAGGGCCTCTCCCCAATCACCTTCCTGAGGCTGAGGTCCAAACGGGGGCGCCACGGGCAACGCGGGGGGGCGGCGGAAGGCGAGAGCCTTGCGATCCATCAAGGAGGGGTGGGGGCCTAAACAGACAGGGAAGCGCGGGCTCGCACCAGTTTCCAGCTCAACCCTGACAGACTTGATTCCCTGAGCAAGAGACAAGGAGACCACGAAACAATCAAACATCGACGGCTTGCCCTTGCGAGGGAAGCAGGCGTCTCCAGACGGGGCGACAATCTGGCGCGAGAGCCCCCGATCGAAACCCGAATCTCGCAAGATCGCGGGGGCGTGGTGCCAGCCCCCCCCCCCCCCCGACCGCAACTCACGCGACAAAGACGACAAGAACTCCCCGACGACAGATTTTCAAATTCCCTTCAGAGAGACCTTCAGAGCGCACAAGGTACAGCGACACCAAGCAGAAAGGCTCGCACCCAGGAGCGTGGACCAACGCTGCCACGACCCTGACTGGCACCTATGCAGTCGTAGGCGCCGCAAACATGCCGAGGTGGTCTCCAGAAAAAATCACAGCGCCAGAGCTCGCGCCTCCTCCTTCACCGGGGATGCCAGGGCACCAGATGCTCTTCCACCCGAGCCCGAGTGCCGACGACGGCGCCTGGGCCAAAGAGTCAGACTCCAAGAGACGATGTTCTTGACCCCGAGTAGTAGAAGCCGAAGACGTTTCCAAGTAAGCCGCGAGCGTGCCCCAAGAATTCAGGTTGGCCGTCATCACCGAGATCCCCTCGTCAAAAACTTCAAAACCACTATAACCAGATCCCGCGGCAGGTCGGACGGGAAGAAGCGAGGTGAGGTTGGCCTGGGGACACTGAAACAAATCCTGAGGTGAGAGGAGCGCAAAAGGCCGGGAAACCAGACCGCTCACCACCCGACGGCCCAGGACACTGATGCAGCAATTTCTTGAAGAGCGCAATGCCCCCAAGGTGCGACTTGGAGTTAATGACAGACCTCCTGTCGGCACAACTATTGCAGGCTAAACAATTATCAGCTAAAACACGCGTGCTCGCGCTAAAGCTCGCACTCCGAGGCGCCGGCATCCGCTGCGGAGGTCACAACGGCGGCGAGAGCCTCGGCAGCGCGCTCGCGCGCGCCCTTGGATGAGGGCTCGGCGGGCTGAGCGGCAGTCTCAGCGGACTCCGCAGCAGCAGCGATGTCACCATGAACATGTTCGCCGCCCTTGTGGTCCTCCGATGCCTCGCCCGCGGGCTGGGCCGTCCCGTCGTTGGCCTTCTGCCGCTTCGGGACCAGGCGCGCCATATGTTGAGCATGAACCTGTTTGGCGTCTCTGGCAGCGTTGACCACCTGCTTGAAAAGATCTGGCGCCAACGCCTGGACTCCGTCTCGCAGTGTCTGCTTGCGCTTCTCGAACTCGGTGCGATCAGTGTCCGTGACCTCGTACTCTGAGCTGCACATATGTTCGAGTAGATCACAATGATCGATGAAATATCCACCTTGCCGTCCACCAGATCAGCCAAAAGCACCGGTGCAAACTTCTTCTCCTGTGGCATATGCGCGGGCAGATTCGCATCATCCGTGCACGACAGAAGACCCTCCTTGTACGCCCTCCTGCGTGTCCCTGATCTTGGTGGTAGCCTCCGCCATCTCCGTCTGCAGCCGAAGCAGCCGCGCGAGGTCGCCCTCGAGCTTCTGCTCCAGCCGCTTGACCTCGGAGTGGGACTGCTGCACCTTGGACACGGGGGACCCTGTCGGTGGCGGCTTCTGTGCCGCTTCCATGAACTTCACCAGGTCTTTGTACTTACTCGCCGCCGCCTTGTCACACGCCTTTTCGGAGAGACTGCCGAGTTGCTTGGCCTCCTCGAGTGTGACGTTGGGCACAGGCCCTGTCGGCGGCGGGGGCTGCCCTCCAGCACCTTTGCCACCTCCACTTGCTGCCATGGCTGGCGCCCCTGGCGAGCCGCCGCCCTTGCCCCAGCCTCTGGGACCAGGATTGCTTGGGGTCCAGAATGGCGACGGAGTGAAGGTACCTGGAGGGATATCAGACACAGCTGAAGGACCACCAGCAAACGGACTGCTGACCACACTCGGAGCGAGGAGCGGAGCCTTGCAGCGCACACAAGTGGTCCAGGACAGCTTGTTCTTTCTGCATCCGCAGCCCTGGCAGACGACGTTAGACGAAAGAGTACGGCTCGACCCAGACCAACCTCCGTGCATGCCGTGTGCCGCGCCATGGAGAGGATACTGCTGCCACGGGGCGCAGCGCCACCCCTGGCGGCACATCAAGTCCGTCAGGCCTCGGGCAGGCACAGACGGGGATCGTGCGGGCAAATCAGAAAGACCACGCCGAAAAACTCTCAAGCCTGCCGCACGGCTGCGGACAAGCTCGAAGCCTCGCGGCAAGGCTTCGAACTTGAGCCAACATGGCTACGGACTCCTCCTCCTCCTCCTCCTCCTCCTTCTCTTTTTCCTCCTCCTGCTCCTCCTCCTCCTCCCCCCCCCCCTCCTGAGGGCCCAATGCCTTCTGAGAAACCTCTCCCCCGCCTTCTCGGTAAGCCGCCCCCTCCTCGCGCCACCCTCCCGTTTTCTCCGCCGACGACCGGGGGGCTGCAGGTCGGGGTGCTCCAGATTCGGCCGCCCAGGATGTGCGTTATCGAGCGCGTGTGCTCAATAGTGGGTAGGGTATATGTCGAGGGCAGGCACGGGTCGGTGATGGGGTGGTACGGTAAGGCGGATTGGTTATGCCCACAGCAGCACACGAGTGTAAAAGTAATGGCCATGAACGAACGAAACTCCCTGAGCCCTGGGCCAAAAAAGAAACAGCGGAATTGTCGTTCTCGGAAAAACAGCCGCGAGGCTCCCATGGTGCTGCCACGAATCCGCTGCTGCTTGATGCTAACGCCGGCTTGGGCGGACAAATGTTGCCTCCCCTAGACAGACAGACGCTGACAAGAGGAGTACCTGTGACAATGATTGCCCCGGCGGGCGGCCCGAGGAACTGAGGGCCCACAACTCGGGGAATGAAGCTACGAACGAAGCTTTCGGAGCCCTGGGCCACAAAGCTCCCTGATCGGGTGACGCTAGAAGTGCCCCTGGCCCAAGGTGCCTCCAGGATTTCCTATGAGGCCCCCACGGCCTCCAGAACACCCATCACGAGACCCACAGGGCCCTAGGGGCTCACAAACTGAGCGGAACCCCCCACGAGGCATCTACACATATGCATCGGCATGTCTTATATATATATATATGTACACATACGTACATACATACATACATACGTCCATCCATCCATCCATCCATACATACATACATGCGTACATACGTATATGCACGCACACATACATACATATACATCCACATACCTATACACCTACACAAACATATACATATACATATACATATACATATACATATACATATGCATATACATATACATATACATATACATATACATATACATATACATATACATATACATATACATATACATATACATACACATACACATATACATATACATACACACATACAAATGTACGTGTATACATACATATGTAGTTGTGCATATATATATATATATGTATGTGTATGCGTGTATGTGCGCATCGACCTTCTATCCATATATGTACATACATATATATATATATATATATACTATATATATATATATATGTATACCGGCCCCCGCAACGTCCGTCTGTTTAAAATCGGCCTTTGAGCTCCTCATTCGTGCTCCTTACTGATCATCCACCTTTCCTATTCGTCATCTGTCCGCTGTCTTCTCTTGCTGGGATCGATTGGAAATCAACTGGATCTGGGCTCTGCCCCATTCAAATCAGATTCTTATCCGATTGCAATAAAACTCCACCGTGACACAGCTGGGCCTGGCATGTGCCCAATGCCAGTTATATTCTGATTCTATTCAAACTATAATACAAGTGGCTTCGGGATCTGCTCAATTCCAAGTCGATGTCACTTCGATTCCACTAGGAAGCGGCCTGGCATCGGCTGGATATGGGATCTGCCAATTCGGATTACAGGTTAATTGAATTACAGTAGGAGTGCGAAAACAAGCTGTGTCTGGGATTAGCTCCATTCCACTAATCTACTACTTCGAGGCCAGAAAAATCACATAGGCCTCTGCTGGATCTGGGATGTGCTCCATTCCAATTAGCTGCTAAGTCGATCTCAATAAGGTTCGCATTGGAAGCAGCTGGGTCTGGGATCTGCTCCATTCCAAATAGGTCCAAATTCGACCCCAATCGGAATCCAATTGGAATCGGCAGGGTACGGGATCGTTCCACTCCAATTTCAATCTAATAGGAATGCAACTCGAAACAGCTGGACCCGGGCCCTGCTCCATTCAAATGTGTTTCGAATTAGACCTCAATCGGGAACCAATTGGAATCAGCTGGATAGTGGGCCTGGTCCAGTCCAACTAGGTTCTAATTAGACCCCAGTAGGAATCACATTGGAATCAGCTGGATATGGAATCTGCTCAAGTCGACCTGGATTCTACTTGGATCCCAATAGGAATCCAACTGGACTCAGCTGGATCGGGGGTCCATTCCACCACAAGTATATTCGAATTCGACCCCAATAAGAATACATGTGCAATCAACTGGATATGGTATCTGCTCAATTCCACTTGGTTTATGACTAGAGTCCAATGAGTGCAAATGAACCCCCCTGGATCTGAGATCTGCACCGTTTCAACTCGATTCAAACTAGATTCCCATAGGAGCCCAATCTGAATCAACTGGATCTGAGATCTGCTCAACTCTAATTGGATTCGATTTGATCCCAATAGAGATCGACTTGCAACCAGCTGAATCTGGGATCCGCTCCACCCCATTTATGTTCCAAGTGGATTCCACTAAAAAGCTATGCGTAATCAACTGGAGCTGAAAACTGCTCAATCCCAACTTGATTCTCCTTCAATTCCCATTTGATGTTCCTCGGATGAGGGCAGGATCCCAGACACTCAGAACAACCCCTGTGAAAAAGCAGGGTTCGCGACGCCCGGAGTGCCCAAACCTTGTGTTCGTTCGTGTTGGATGTTTGGGATTTGTGGAATGTGAAATGACAGATGTCCTGGGAAGGAAATGGGATTTGTGGCATGTGAAATGGGATTTGTGGCATGTGAAATGCTGAATGTTTGGGAGTTGCTGGCCTCTACCACCTTGGGAGGCCTCTACCACCTTGTGTTCGTTCATGTTGGATGTTTGGATGTTTAGCCAGCAACCCACGTGATGATGCAAGATTGCCTGAGTTCTCATCCCATAACCCCCAAACATCCACATGAAACCATAAAGCTCCCGCGTCCTGACATCGCACACCTTGCGCATCTGGATGTTTGGGACTGGGAATCGGAGCTCCTGAGGGGGCTCCTGGGCTGGATTTTCGCTGGAGTGAAGAAAATCAAACAAATCCAAACCAATGCAATGGCTTCCTCAGCTCTCATCCCAGAAACCCCCAAATCCAAACGAAGACATAAGGCGTCCGCAACCCTGGCGTCGCAAACATTGCGTTTTCGTTTTGATGTTTGGGGTTCTGAGGATCGTAGCTCACGCCTTGGGAAGCCGACCAGCGAGAGAGGGGATATACACATATATATAATAATAATAAAGAAAGAGAGAGAGAGAGAGAGAGAGAGAGAAATAGAGAGAGAAGGAACAATATAACCATAACCAGATAGAACAAAATATAAACAGAGAAAGAGAGAGAGAGAGAGAGAGAGAGAGAGAGAGAAAGAGAGGAATCTATATATAGAGAGAGAAGAGCGAGAACAACAATGGAAATAGAGAGAGGGAGAGATAAAGAGAGAGAGAGAGAGACGAGGAAGGGGAACAGGAGGAAAGGAAGAGCACAACAGTCGTAACTGAACGCTAGTAAGAATGGGTGCTGGGCGGGGCTGTCCATATATAAAGAGAGAGAGAGAGAGAGAGAAAGACAGAAAGAGAGGGGGAGAGAGAGAGAGAGAGAGAAAATGAGAAGGAGAGAGCGAGAGAGAGAGAGAGAGGGAGAGAAAGAGAGAGAGAGGGAGATAATGAGAAAGAGAGAGAGAGAGAGAGACACACTCATGTATAGCGAATCTGAATACGAGTGACTAAGTACGAATTTCTACGCGTACGTGTCGTTTCGCGCATGAGCGGGCCATAGTGCACGCAGGCCTGGAATAGATGGATATGAATAAAGGGGTACCTGGGGGTGAATATGCATATGCACGAGTCTCACATATATATACATATATATGAATCTCAGTGTGAGGAGCTCATATTGATTCACAGTCCACGAGCGAGTCTGAAAGTGGGTGGGATCAGAGTGCGCGTGCATCTATGTATGTGGGGCGTCTAGGTGAGAGGGACTGGGTGTGGGTGGGACTGGGTATGAGTGAAGCAGAATACGAGCAAATCTGAATGCGATGGAGTTTGGATACTCGTGAGTCTGAATGTGACCAACTGCATGTGAATGCGCCCAGGGACGATTGAGTCGGGTTGTGAGTTTAGCTGCGAGTGTAATTGAATATGTAAGATACTGGGCATGGGCGGGTCTACATGCAAGCTGATGGGTCTGAGTGGGTCTGGCCAGGGCTGAGTCTGAGTATCAGCGAATGGATGCGAATGGACATGCATGAGTTTGAGTCCCACCAGCCCTCTGGGCGTCGGTGGTTTAGAGCGTTTCCTCTTCCAGCCCTCCTTTTTCCCCTTCGGGGAGGGGTTTACCCCTCCCCATACCCCCTCCCCGTGGACCTGGACGGGAGGGGCCGCGAGGTGCCAGAGCGTCCAAAAAGGCCTCGGCGAGGAAGCCAAAATCATTGATTGTACTCGGGTTTGGGCCTCATTTTGGCCTCCTGGGGGGGCGAGGCTAATTAATACTCCGCACTTCTTTGATAGATCTCCTCCAAGAAGGTCCCAAGAAGCGCCCAGGAGGCCCCAAGA